TTTTATAATAAAGCAACGTTTGTATAAGAGTAAGGGGTGGTTTCTATAGGCTCAGCAGTTTTCTGTACACAAGAAAACGGGGGATTTGAAAGTGACAATAATGCTATGATGACGATGGCGATCCGAATCTTAAATTTCAGTGGACGGACAGTGGGGGAGCTGGTGCTGCACGTGGTCTGATTGCAGCGCCACCTGCGGGGGAGGTCGTCGGTCACGTGTTCGAGACTGCAACAACCCTGCGCCATCTAACGGCGGGAAGAACTGTACTGGCAAAAACACACAAGAAGAAGAGTGCAATACACAGCCGTGTCCAGGTACGTGTGATGCGTAGCTTTTATTTTCTCTTTCATTGCATATAAAAGTGCATCTATAATGCCTATTTTAAAACATTAAATATTACCAGATTGTACGTGTTCAGCAATAATCTCTTATATATTTAAATATTCTAAAATTCGAATTAATAAAATGACTAATTAAATTGTTTGGAGACAGTAGGCCCCTATATTTACCGATTCAAACAGAAACACAACATTTTTTATTAATTTACGAATGTTCAATATAATTACCCATTATATCACTTCTCGGGGAAGTGTTTTTCCCCGAAATGAATTTTTAAAACAGACGGCTTGTTCCAGCAGTTCGCGGGGGGTGGACCATGTGGTCAGAGTGGTCGCCATGCAACAAGGTCACGTGTCAAGTCACGCGCTCACGTTCCTGCAAGAAGCCGAGTCCGGCAAATGGCGGGGAGCCGTGCACTGGACCTAAAGAACAATCCAGAAATTGCCTGTTGCTTTGCTGTGTGGGTAAGTTAATATTACAATGTATTTGGTAAGCTATCCTTTATAAAGAAAAAAAACATAATTATATAATTGTCAATTGATTTTTTAATCTAAACCACAATTATTTTGTGGAATGATACTCCATCCGTCTGTCTAAATATAGCCATGGCCTACACATTATGAATACAGTCCAATATGTATGAATATGTACTTTAGCTAGAATGCTGCGAGTATAATCCTGTAATGTTGAAAACAAAGATATCTTTCATATATAATTAACATTAATTAATTATTTTTTACATCATATTTTATCAACGTTTAATTTTTGAAACAATTTTCGTCCGTGTATGCTCAACACGAAGTAATGCTCCTCTGAAACAGCAAAGATGTGTCTACAAACCACTGGTAATAGTAACTCTACAATAAGGAAACAAACAGAGACGGTGTTCTACAAGTTCTGCCTAGATATTTTACTTAAAATTATCTTCACCCCAGCACTGTCTCTATTTCAGATGGTCTTATAGAGAAGCTGGGCCTGGAAGTGACGTCATACAACTGGTATAAATGTTGACAGCATCCATTCCATCTCTTTTCCCTGATACAAACAACGAATGTGGACGATGTTGTTTTGTTCCGTCATATCCTTGTTCGGGGACAGACCATCTTCATTTGTTACTATCACTGGTCCTGGGGACCGAGCTTTTCAGAGGTGAATCGCGTGAGCCGACTGCCTATAGCTACCGCAACAGGTCTGTGGAAGACAGGGGCTAGGCGCGCTATGAACGCTGAACCCTGCCAACTTACCACAGCATTGCCATATTTAAAAATCTCCGTTGAGGTCGAAATTGTCGAAATGACCCAGCATGATGGACGTGGACGCTGACCATGAACAGAATGAACCACTCTTTTCGTACAGCCTTGCGGCATTTAACAAACTTTTATGCTCATAATATACCTTTATTTAGCCTACGTCATATTTAGATCTTAAAGTTGTAACATTATAGTCATCATTATTGAATGTGTAAATTCACGTCAGTAGTGTTCATCATGTAACCCACAATCTTTGTGTGATTACACATGTTCTTGATTGAATAAACTATTAAACGCACAGTTTGTACCTTCCCTGGCTAGCGTGTGCTGGATTGTGGGGGTAAACGTACAAAAGATGTATGTGCAGGCTGGCGTTTTACTAGGAAGGGATTTGAATTGGAGCAGACCTTTCAAAATCAAAATAGCGAAGTTGGCGGGGAGAGGGGGGGAGGGTTTTAAACCCTAAGCCCATTTGCTGCCTACGCTTATTCCCGCGTCTTTTTTGATGAGAAAGAGAATTGGATTCCCCTAGGTTCGAAAGTGATTGAGAAGTAGAGCAAAAGGAGGCATTTTTGATATTTGAACCGTTTGTCAGACGTACTTAAGAACATCAATGAGTTTATTGTAGAAAGTTTATGTACATGCTTAGTCCATCCCCCCTGTTCAACAAAACAATGCATCTAGTGAATAATGACATAAATACAGCTTGAAAGGCATTTCTAACTGAACTGCCTAGGGTCTCTCGCCCCAGGACAGCCAGTGAATATACTGTATGACAGTGTCACTCTAGTGAAACACTTTTCAATACAATTAACAAGAAATGAGTTATTTTTTTGAAAGAAGTAATAAAAACACAAAATAAAAAATAAAGAGAATAAAAAAGCCTAAGATTGCAAAATGAATCACCAGATAAGGATTGGACAAACTTGTACATGTATAACCGTCCTACGGAACAATTCACTTTTATGCTCAAAAAACGAGAAAAAAAAAAAAACACGGAGATGACAAAAAAACTTAAAACTACCATGATTGCTAACCTGTATGAAAATATTTAAGTAATAAAATTTAAGTAAAATTTGATGAAAGAGGGTTGAATTTCCCTGATCCCTCAACTGTTGCAGAGAAGAGCAATAAGTCACGTTTCCATTTGTTAGAAGTATTTGAGAACATCACTGAGATTAAAGTAGGATAATTACATACGCAGACCGTCTTCTGTTAATAGGGAACATGCGGGATAGCCTATTTTGAACATCTGCGCAGCAGATGACGTCAAACGAGACCTGGATTGGAGCGAGATTTCACGAGAGGTGGGGTTAAAATCTGCCATTGAAACTTCTCTCGCGGTTGTGCACAAGTCTATGTTATAGGATTGCATTGAGTAAAATTTGGCGTTGTCATGTAATATGAGATAGAGCAACGCAATGGCGAATTGCTAATGTTGTGTCGTAGGGTGCATTGCAGTAAAACCTAACCGAGAAAACCAGGAAAATGACCATGGATGACAGACACGACTGGCGAGAGAAGTGAAGTAAAGAAAGAGAAGTAGTTGGGCTTGAACAGATTAAAAGGACTAAGTGCCGACATATTTAAAGTACAGATCAGGTCGCAGTATTTTGTAGGAAGAAAGGGACCAACTGCAGACAACTAGCACCCGACACGTCACTGGCTTCATGGCATCACCGTATAGACCGTATCATCAACGGTCGAGGGACATATTAATAAGTAAGTTTTGTGTGTGTAGTTTACAGGACACCATGGTTTATTAACGTAATACAGCCCTAGTACTTGTGATTAATAGTCTTTTACGGTAACCAGGCCCGTAGCCAGCAATTTTAGGGGGGGGTCGTTTTCTGAAAAAGTGGACCTTTTACCATAAAATCCTCAAGTACATAGGTCAAATTGTACCCAGAGTGGATCTTTTCCCAGCAAAAAGGGTGGTTCTTTCGAACCCCCCAAACTCCCCCCCCCCGGCTACGGGCCTGGTAACTATATCAGACAAATTTGCTTATACCATTCCTGTCTCCATATAACGTGTACCTGATTATGAAATACTGGTGAACCTTCCACACCTATTAAGTATACACAATGTTCAGTTGCGTTTGTAACATTCCATGCCGGGTGGTCAGTTATGATAATTGCAAGTAAGATAGAAATTAGAGTTGGTATTTTACAACAACGTTTATCACATAATGATATATATTTCAGAAAAATAAGTGAGTTAATTATTTTTTATTTTAGAGCATGACAGACACAGCACATGTTATTGAACCAGGCAAGAACTGTGAGAATCATGTGGTCAGGATAATCAGATGTTGAAGATTGCTCAGTGTATATTAATCTCTTATGTCCTTAATTATTATGTTGTTGACTAAAATTATATCAGGAATCAACAGATGGCATTTTTGCCTGGGTGTCACTTACAGTATCAGGCATTTTCTTTATTACTTTAAAATGAAATATTTGGTTTTATATATATATATATATATATGTATATGCCTATGTATTGTACTGCACTAGTAATTTAATGAAGAAAATAATTTTTCTTGCTAGTATCATTTTTATGTTACTGTAGTGACTTTTTTAATAACTATATGACACCTGTTTTTCATATCATTTACTCGGATCACAAATACAAGTTCGCCTTTGATGTTGTGTTTATTTGTTGTATTTGTGTATAACTGTCAATAAAATGCAATGATTCTGTGAACATTTCAATTTATATGTTGTCCATTTTAATACTTTCTTTTGTCATCTCTCCTGTCATTTAAGTCAGATCTGATCACAATGAAACTTGCATTTTGTGAATGCTATCCACTAGTTTCTATAGCATCATTTTCATAAGTAAATAGATGAAGAAAATTAACTTTATGATCAAGTTTGTGCTTTTTGAACTAGTTACTATAAATTTAGTGAAATTAAAACAAAGATGCAGGCAAGTCTAATGTTCTGATATGCAATCCATCAGTAAATGAAATGTCAAATGATTTTATTTTACTTCTTTAAAAATAAAGTTTAATAGTAAAACATTTATAAAGAAAAATAAGTTGCAGTTATAAAACTTTTGTTGTTCAAATGGATCTCATGAATTGACCAGTCAATGAAGAACAATCAAAAATGAACAGTATCTTTCATATGTCTTTTTTGCATCCACTGGCACGTTTAGACAAGCATCTCTTTAAAATCCCAAAGACAGTAATATACAGTGACAATTTAAAAATGAAAGAGTGGATAACTATATAAAGTTCTTGACATCTACATCAGGGAAATTAATGGTGAAAAAGGAAGATTGAAGAATATTTGCTAAAAAACAGAAGTAGGAAATTTCATATTGCAATAAGCTGGAGTTAACAATTTAAATTTAGTAATTATGATAACCTAAAAATGAAGCAATTAAGCCCTTGACAGCACTGGATTATCTTATTTACAAATGTCCAATGCTTGTACTGTAGAATGTACATGGACCTACTTTCAACATTGATCTCATTGAAAGCAAAACAGTCATGCCACATCCATAAAGTGACAAAAAGGTTGCAAATGAATCTCACGTCAGTTGTACGTACATATTATATCAATACTTTTTCTTTATAAAGTGAAAAAAGAACAAGCCTGTAGCTCAAAAATTTTGGAAGTTCAGCTATTTTTCAAGTAAAGAAATCGCTGCTCTACTTCCTTGTGGTCTCCATATTTTAACCCCACCTCAAGGCAGATCTCGTAAAATCACGGGGAAATGTGGTCTTCTCGTTGAGAACCCGGACAACCTCCATTACGTTCAACAGAACAATTCAGAGTTATTTACGACAGAGGTTGACGATGGCGTTACGCACATTCAATTTACATAAGATAAAAATCTACTAGCACAAACAGAATCGTATTAAAACGATTTAACACGATTTAGAGGATGTTATTGCGTTTCTTATAAGTGTTTCAAACAATATCATGAAAGATTTCCACTCAATCTATTTATTAAGTAGCCAATTGCAACAAATATTGGGGGGCAAGCACAACTTTTTTATATGAAGGATCGCATAAGCCGTGGCTCAATGATCGTATCAATTCAAGTTCGATCGGTTTCACTGACATCCTGATGTAACGTTTGGTTTCACCTTTGACGTAATAGAGGACGATGTCATCCACGACTGTTCACACCTTGGAGGTAGCAGGTTTGAGTAGTCTTTACTCTTTCAGTGTTGACTGTGGAGTTGCCCCGGATGCTGTAAGAACATAAAAAGTCTTGAGAAGCAGGGACCCGAGATATGAAGGGGATTCATCAAAGGACAAAACGTACGACTGGTAAAAGCAATAGAGGCGACGCGACTTTTGTAAAAAACAAAACTTCTCTCTCTGATAATCCCACTGAGAAGATAGCACATTTTGATGAAATTGTAGTTTGACAGGCAAGGCCCCATGGGGGGTTACCTATAGCTCAATTCAAGTTTGATCTGTGGCGTAGCTGGTAAAATATATAGATTAACGACCATTCACACTGATGACCAGCAATATGTCATTTTTAAATGTTTTTTATCGATCACTTGTTTTAAATTGTGGTTTTATTATGCAAAAGGTAATTTGCTATGACCTACAAGAGCCGGCATTCGTTCTAGAGACTGCCAGGGGTAATCCTAGAGAGGGGTGAGAAACGGCCATTGTTCTCGATCGTCAGTGAGGCTAACCATTTTTATGGTAAGTACGCACAGACAGAAAACTGTGAATTGATGGAGCGTTACTAATGACACCACTCTAGCCATAACGAGACTTTTCTACACTTGTGAGTGTGTGTGTTTTGAAATTTAAGTATTGTAATGATAACAGAAATACTGGTATAACGCAATTGAATTGACGTAAAATAGACTGATCCGATTAAAAATCATTTACATTACGGTGACATTTACTCCAAATGAATTGATACGTTAATGCTTAGTAATAACAGGCCGTGGATTTCGCCATCTTTTCGAAAAACAAAACAATACGTAACAGTTAGGCCTACTCGTTACATATTGTCTGATATGAATTTTACATTAATTTTCAGACACCCCAATTCCGACTTAGGTTTTGTGTGAAGTAATGTAATCATTGTTATAATTACGATTATAAATTGATCTCGCCATAGGAAGACACGACACGAAGACACGAACTGTAAATTCTGCCATAGTTAAGACAAAAAGCTAGATTCACCAGGTTTTAAGAAAAGTATAATGCACAAATATATAATTCACTTTTTTCAATACATTTTTTCACATGGTCTTTCTGGTATATATCTGCAGTGATAGGATCAGTGATAGTTCTGTGGATGTGATACAAATATTGTAATTTTGGCTACATGATTTAATACACAGAAGTCGTTTGTGCTTTCAGACGCCTATGCAGTCGTCGAATGGGACGACAAAACCATATCTGGCATGAAGACCTCTGAATTAACTTCAAATGAAAAGATCCAACGGGGCGTGCGTGTTTCATACGAATTTGAAGATTCTGGGAAGTCAGAAGGAACAGTTTTAGCCACAACCAGTAAGTATCGATTCTTGGGTGTATTTAATGATCTCATATATATGATCTCATGCGTCTCTTTGGTCTTTAAAGACAAATATAAGAGTCATTATCGGTTCGGTTCCCTATCTTGCTGTAATTGTTTTTGTACTGTACCCCCTTCCCCTATTTCAGATTCCATACATGCGCACATGGCTAAGGTGCGCAATTACACTGGCACAAACAATTCACTTATTTCGATTGGAGACAGCGAAGATAGCGAGGTAGATACAGCAGAGACCGCAACTGATACTGAGACAGAGACAGACTCGGAGTCTGAGAGTGGTCAGGTCCCCCCCCCCCCCCCTGCCCCAAAAACGAAGAAAAAGGTGAGTATTGGAAAGAATATAGTTATACGGTTAAAGCATACATGTACTTCCTGCCTCTCAAAATTAAAGTAATTAAAATAACTTTTTTCTATTTGAAGGTTAATTTTGGTTTTCGAATAATTTTGAGGTCATTAATCTACGTTTCTCTTTTTAAAGTTATCTGAACAGGAAAATAGGAAAATAGTGAACTTGGCGGTCGTAGTATGTTCGTTACATATGATATATAATGTATTTATCAAGAGATTTACTTGAGGAAATACAATAAAAAAATGGTCATAGGCGCCACGTCAATTACGTTTGAAAGCAACGGACTGCAGTTAATACCAATAGTTAGATTTTTTGTTTATCTGAATATTCAGCATGGACCCTTGCTGGCACTTGGTGAAGCAGGAGCGAATGACGGACAAGAGCAACCAGCGCCCGTATTGCTTTGCGACTGCAGAGGGGCACTAGTTAAAATTATGGATAAGTTAGAGGAATTGGACAAGAAAATGGACGCAATACAAGAACTCGTGAAAGACAAATTAATAGAGCCCGGAGCCTGCCCCAGCCCCCTTTCCACCCCCACCTCCCCCCACACCCTTCAACGCCCCAAATGGTCCACCCCCTGCCCATTCCAACTCCTTCCACCCCCGTCCCACTCTTACTTCCAATCCCCGTCCCACTCCTACTCCTTCCACGCTCCGCCCCACTCCAACTCCTTCCACCCCCGTCCCACTACTATCACCCCCCTGCCCTCTCTTATTCGCCCCAGCCCCCTGCCCTCTCCAATTCCTCCCAGCCCTCTGCCCTCTCCAATTCTTCCCAGCTCCCTGCCCTCTCCAATTCCTCCCAGCCCCCTGCCCTCTCCAATTCCTCCCAGCCCCTGCCCTCTCCAATTACTTCCACCCCCCTGCCCTCTCCAGTTCCTCCCACCCCCCTGACCTCGCTTACTCCTTTTATCCCCCGTCCTACCCCCAAAATGTTCCACCCCCCGTCCTAGCCCGGTTCTCACCCACCCCTTGTTCAACATTCTTCCACGACCAAACCCTAACCATGCCACCCCTCTACCACCGCTTATGTCCCAGCCGCACAACTCTTCCCTCTCTGACCCTGTGCCCTTCTCCAGTCCTTTGCCAACCATGCCTTCCCAAAATCTCCTCACCACTAGAAACAGTGCCCCCACCTCTGCCACCCAAGGTGCCATTCCTATGCTGTCCGATTTGGACTTGGCAATAATTAAAATTCAATCCAAAGGCCCAGCAAGCTTCTGCGTCAAAGTAATGTCCAACCTTTTTAGCCCTAACGAAAGAATAGACCCGACAAGAAATATTGAAGGGTCCTCTACAGGACAAGACAAGCGCGCGCCGATGGACGTTGTGAGAGTGGGGTTTATAAGAAACGCCGTCCGGAAATTTTACCCCGAACATAGGGAAGACAACTTTTGCAATAAAATGGTGTCTGTCATGAACACGGCCAACAGGAATCTAAGGAGTTAAAAAAAGAAGTGATCCCTTTAACCGAATAAATGAAATGAAGCTTTATTCCCCCTTTTTGTTTATTATGAATACCCCCCTCCTTTTTTCACTCATTGAATTCTATTGTTTATTGTGTATTATCACTCGTCCCCTGCCTACCCCAACATTTTCCACGCCCGGTCCTATCCCCGTTCTACACCCCCCTTGGCCCGGCCCTCTTCCCACCACCATGTTCAACTTCAACTCCACGACCAAATCCTATCTTGTCCACCCCTCTATCACCCCTTTGATAGTATCCCCCCAGGCGTCCCAACAGCACAACTCTTCCCTCTCTGACCCTGTGCCCTTCCCCAGTCCTTTGCCAACCATGCCTTCCCAAAATCCCAAATGGTTCTCTTGTAAATGATTTTGTGGGGGGCAGCAAGACATGCGGACGCGTTACTCTGTCACAGTCATCCTCTGGTTATTTCACTGTCTCGTGATCCAGCAAGACATGCGGATCGTTCCCCCCCCCCCCCACATTTTATTATGAATACCCCCTCTTTTTGTATTCACTAATTGAATTCCATTATTTATTGTGCATTATGACTCTCAGGTAAATCTTCGGCTGGCCAATAATTCAAATGCGAGACAAGCCTACATTTTTCATGACTCAAAATTTTTCTAATTAAGGATGGTTGAATGGAGAGCTCTACTCCTCGCTGGAGGCCCGTCAATGTAAGGAAAAGAGCATACCCCCCCCCCTCCCTTAAAATTTGGGAGTTAGGGGCTGGGTAACATGCCACAGCTTATCTGCCATCCACCATTTTCTTCTCTAAATAAATTCTAAATAATCCAAACTAATTCACTGGCTTAGTCCGGTCCATTTATTTGTTTCACGTTGTCAGCCTACTAGCATTTTTATCTTAGTTTCGCCGAAATTATTTATTTTGGCTCCTATTGTGGCATATATATTTTGGTTCACATACAATTATTCATCTTCCACCTAATTGTGGCTTTATAATTATGGCGCATAACTTATTTGGCTTCTGTTTGTATATATATACACGCATATAAATACATGTATTTTGGTTTGCATTATTTCGGCTTATGTGACTTTGTTTTGTATTTTCACCCTTTTTCTGGTTGCAGTTGCAACCCCACAAATGAAATTAGTGCACTTTTAGTTTTGATATTTATTTTTATGATATAACATTACGTAATTTCAATAAATTGAACAATATTTAATGCTATATAATAACTAAAGCCATTCTTTACTAGAGGGACCTTTCAATAAAAGCGGTCGCTACCGGCCAAATTTCTAACACTATTTTTGTGTCTGTCATTTACTTATCCCTGAGCTTGGGTTAACGAGAAGAGAGAAAGGAACAGTACCGTCAGATAAGCAACTATATAATTACGTCGGCATATAGCAAGCGGCAATTAACTCCCCGTCGAGCATGAACAGGGTGATGAGCGGCCAGCAATGGACAAGCGGGGATCATTTAGCATATTAGCGCACATAGCTTGCTTGAGCGCTTTGTGGGGTATCGGCCTGCAACGAGCGAAGATTAAATTTCTAACAATGTCATTTTTAAAATGATATCGTTTTTCAAAAAGTCTTCACTTTCAATTGACCTCGAAGCGTTGCATCATGATATAAAATGGCATGTGCTTTTGAGTCACGGTACATTTCAGAAAATACGATTGATTTACACATGAAACATTTAACAGAATAATGTGCGGAAATTTTTCAAAGAAGAACACCTTATAATGTCACGGTAAAGGAAGTTAAAAGAGCGAATATACAGATAGCCTTCACAAATTTGAAGTAGTTTATGTTATTTTTGCTCATTACCTCAGACGGCACGCTCCGTGGTTTGTGACCGATACGTCATTTTCAAAGTAACATTGACCGTTAGGTACGAAAATTTTAGATAGCAGGACAAAATACTCACCAGTCGAATAAATATTAATTTTTAAAACAAAGCTTCGCAAAGTGAATAAAAACCCCGTTAGCAAGGCAGGAGATAGACCCTGTGTCAGCCTAGAGAAAGGAACAGTACCGGCAGATAATAACGTCGCCTTACAGCAAGTGGCAATTAACTCCCCGTCGAGCATAAACAGGGCGACAAGCCGCCACCGATGGACAAGCGGGGGTTGATTTGCATATTAGCGAACATAGGGCGGGCTCGACGTCTTCCCATTTTCATTCCCATTGTGTTTTGCCCTATAATTATCTCGTCACCATGTACCCGTAACGACGTCACAAAATTATTAATTAGTTGTCGCGTGAATTATAGGCACGCCAGTATAATAAATTTCATAAATATATTATAGGTAATGTTTGTATTTTTAATTTGTTTTGAACAAATGAAAGAAGTAACTGCTTACAAAGCACAGATAATTTTAGAGTAATATAAATACATGCCCAAAGAAATGGTTATAATTAAAATTATCATGTACCGATATTACATTTTATTGCATAATAAAACATCCTAAATCTAAAGAAATAGCTTGCAATTCGCTTTCCACCACGACACAGCGCATACAATGTAGATATGTATGATGCCACGCCCACTACTGCATTTCACCCCTTGCTGTGCATTGGTATATGCAAGTCCCAAAATGCTTGAATACGTGCATTTTAAAGTCCCGCACGCTTATTATACATCTACACTGAATAGCATCATAAAGAGGGATGTTCCAAAATAAGCCAGGGGTTACAGGAATGTCGGAAATCCACAAATATGAATAAATTTTGCTTTTCCTTTATCATATTCAACAAACAATAAAATCACCAGACATGATCCTTTTTGTCCAGTTCCTCATGCTGAAAATGAACAGAAGAAAACCTTAAATTTTCACATACTTGCACAGTGTAATTTTATTATTTTCTACATTTATATGATTTCATTATATTTTTTTATACAGTACATATATGTTTTTATCATTTTTACAGACCATCTCAGACACATTTTTGTCCTGTCTCATCCAAGTACACGTAAACGGTTTGGTAAGTCAATAATTCTTTCTTCATTATGAACCAACTGTCAATTTCATTTACTTCCTTTAAAAAACAATGCAGTAAAAACATTCATAAAATATACACTACAGGGGTGGATCCAGGATTGTTTGAAGGGGGTCCACGGATGTGACCCCCCATCTTTGGCATGAGGTTCGGTATTTTAGAGGGCGATGATGCCATTTGCTACGATTTACAATTGTAACTCGCCTAGTCAAAATTCCTATTTCGTAAGGATGCCATTGGTTCGTTTTCTTTTTTTCAGAAATTGAAGGAAGGGGGTCATCCCCCCCACTAAATCTGCAACTAATACATTTAGTTACCCAGGTAACAAACCAAATTGCCATATTTAATGTATTTCTGTTCTCATACTCTTCTGTTTTTCATTTACAGGCCATCTCAGTCACTTTTTGTGCTGTCCTCCAAAGTACACATTTACAGTGTGGTAAGTCACCAAAGTTTTCTTCGCTATTGATCAACTCTCAATGTCATTTGTTTTCTTTAAAAAACGAGGTAAAGATAAATTAAGTATACTTATAAAGTGTGGTTTTTCATCTTTCTTCAACACTATACAATGGGATACAATATATTATGGTCTGTAAGGGATAGCAAAGATATGTATTTACTGACTCTGGTGACAAGATTTATCTGTATCTAATCTTAGATGAAATGTGGCATTATAAATATATTCCACATAATATTCCAATTTGCAATGTGCACTCTGCTCTAGAAGAAGATATCATTATTCCTCAACTCTCCCCTGCAGAGAAAGAAAAATATCTTTATGTATCCGGATGGGCAATAATGCAGGTCAGAAAAGAAACATATTCTTCCATGAGGCGGCTGTTGAATAGAAAGATACTTGCGCTAAAACAACATTTTTAAAATGCTATAAAAGGGTTATAATAAATTCATTAAATTTTTTGGCAAAGATGTACCTTTACCCAACCATTTTCCACATACAGACACGTCGAAATACACGTTCAAAATTTCTCAAATTTGTTAAGTATTCTTTATTTACATCCATTTATTTTCAAAAGTAATAAATAAATAAAGAAACTTTGGACCTGTACAAAAGTAAATTCAAATTGCAGTAAAAAAAAACTTGTCATATGCAAACAGTTACGATTGAAGTATTTTGACATGCTTAAGCAAAGACAAAACAACGAACAAATTGATATTACATCCAAAATTCATGTTCTTCCTAAAATTGTCATCAATCTTTGTAATTCAAAAGCAAATACATTACTAGAACCACAAAATGTTAAACAAAAAAAAAAAAAAAAAAGAAAGAAAGCATTTCCTTGAGATGTATAATACTGCCCTCAATAAAAGAGCCAATCGCCCAAAACCCAGAATCCTCATATAGACGAAAACTTGGACAATCCAGTTGTGGCGAAAAAGACACAGAAGACAAAATGATTATTTGCGATGGTAAGCTTTGTCCCAATGGCTGGTGCCA